GATAAGGAAGGAAAAAAACGGGGTTTTAGAATAATGTCTTTATAACAGACTTCTCGTTACTTCAGGACTCGTTAAAAGTCGACTCCACTGTACTACTGTTGCTAGCTGTCCCATTTTTCAGTATAATCTCAACAGGCAACAATAATAGTCAAATCATGACAATATAGCAACACTGGTTACCGTTAAAATTTGACTGACATTTCTCACGCTGTAATTTCATTCAGCTAACAAAGAAACTTATAAAACACCAAAGGATTCTTAAAATATTACCTTGGGAAACACGTGAAATCTTGAGCCCAGGCTTTGGGGGACACTTTTTGGCATACGATGGTACATTCTTCACAGGTGGGGGAATTGGGAGAGGTGCTGGATGCTGCTTTGACAATATATTGTTTCCAAGAAAGACAAAAGGGAGAAAAATTTTTTTTTTAAAAATTAAATGGGAAAAAGGATACGAAATGTTTATACACACATTCTGCTACATTGCACAAATTTAAGAAAATATATCAGGCACTGTCAACTTGATTTCTGGTTACACACAATAAATGCTAGCCTTGAAACTTAAAAACCATATCTCCATTCCAGTTTATTGTGGTCTAAATATTCTTCACAAATTTGTCTTTCAATTCACAACTAAAACCTGTATAATATGACTTCAAACCCAATTCGATTTTACTGGATTTCCTTGGCACATTTAAATTCAACTTTGCTTGAAATTAATTCTTACGTCTGTTTCAAGGCAATCTTTTAACAGCAGACTTTTCTCTTCACACAAAATGTTTCTGAAATTTGAAAAAAGTTTAATCAATGTTCAAGACACAGAACGAAAGATGGTGTTCTAAAAAAATATAATTCCAGATACAGTCAAAACTGTGTAAGACACATTGTCCAGGAGAAAAGCACTTGTATTAGACAGGTGGCCGTATCTCGTTTGTACAGGTGATTGTGATATACAGGTGGCCGTATCTCGTTTGTACAGGTGATTGTGATATACAGGTGGCCGTTAAAGCAGGTTCGACTGTATATAATGTAAATTAAAGGAAACTCACCTGACTATTGATATGAACAGACGGTGGCAATGAATGAGACGTTGACTTTGCTGGGGCTTGAGGAAGTGGGGTAGAAAAGTGATTGACAGGAATTCCTTGCACTGATGATTTGGGATAAGATTGTAGTGTCAAATTTGAGGGAACCCCTCCTGGTCCTGGCACCCCGGGCCGAGTGCTGGGAACCAGGGCAAACATTGTCCCTTGGCGAATATTTCCCTGAGAATTAGGAACAGTCACTAACTGAAACTGAGAGCCAGCAGTACCCAAAGCACCAACATTCGAAGGCATCAGCTGCGTCTTGGACGGTGGCATGGACTGTGGTATCAGAGGGTTGCCTGCACCCATGAGGATAGCAGAAGAGTCTGGTGCTACTGCTTGAAGCCGAGAAACAGGTTGGGAAATAAATCCATTCACTGGTATGGACATCGGAAGTGACTTGTGATTTGCTGCCTCGTTGACGGTGGACTTCAAATGATTAGAAGCAGAGGCGTGGATAGTTCTGGAGTTTTGAATAGAGGAGGGTCGACTGGTTCGACTACTTTCATCTTCATCTGTGAGATCTATAAGGTTCACGGTGCCTTTAGGTGCACTGGCTGGAGGTCCTGCCTTCCGATTATCTTGGGTGTGAGATAAGCTGTTAGCTAATACCTTGTGGTGTTGTGAGATTGGTGAAGAGCTAGATGTGCCATGCGGAGATCTTTGTTTCTGATACGAAGGTCTTTGCAGTGGAGGAGCACGAGTTTGACTATTTTGTCTACTTGTTAAGCTGGGTGAGGTGGTCTGCAAAAATAGGGAAAAAGCTTTTGTCAAGAGAATTCATTGCGTGGAGACAAATCTGGAAACTTTATAAATCCCAAACCCAAACAAGCCTGTCACTATTTAAAAGAGCCTCGCATCACTCATGTCAATAATCAATTAATAATACAGAGGTAAAGAAAGTAAATCAAAAGCACAGTTCAGAAAGAAATTAATAATTCTAAAGGCAGACTAGTTTTTCAAAATTTTGAATTGAGAGGGATGTTATGTAATACCACGAGCTAACAACTTTCCTTGTACCTGCATAATATTACATCATAATCAAAAGGCCTTTGTAGAGATTTCAATATATCGATCTAGATCATGTATACATTTGATAGGTTATTGATGGAAAAGGGTCTCCCCTTAATGAATGTATGTGACAAATCTTTCATTTAACACATTTCCAACCTGAACAAATGGGGATTCTCTGTTCGTCCTCAGTTGCCCACAAACCAGGATTCCAAAAATGTATGTTTTTGGGGGGGTTTTTTGGTATCGATAATATAAATCAATAGGTTGGTTTTCGAATTCAGTGTATTGTATTGAACAAACTCTTGAGTTATTCAGCCCACTTTTAAAAATTTGGTGACCTCTGAGCATTTTTGCACAGTCATTTATCCAGATTACATAACCCATTTATCCAGATTACATAACCAATACGAAATATGAAACTTAAAGTTCAAACTAGCCAGCTTTTGGGCTGCAAGTAAAAGTGGAGAGTGTGTGCAAAATGTATAATATTATGAATAGCACTGCACAGTTTAGCAGAATACATTATATTTGTACAATTTTTTTTAAAATTTTAAATCTTGAAACGGAAAGAGACAGAAGACTTTACAGTGACTTACTGAAGAAGTATTAGCAACTTGATTGGTGAATGATGGGGGATTCAGCAATACAGATGGGGGCAAAGAGAGAGTAGAACCAGATGCCTTTTGGTCGACTGACTTCCTGGTTGAGTGCTTTAAAAGAAGAAAAAAATTACACATTGGATATCATACTCAAAATAAGCACAAATACACTCTCCAAATTACACAATACTACTTAATGAACTAAATAATCCTGAAAAGATAAAAAGGATTTCATTTCCGGGACCAACTTTTAAAAAAAATCCCAACAAAATAGAAGCCTTTAAAGAATAATAAAAGTTCAGTAGCACTTAACAGTAGTTATTCAACGATTTGCACACCTGTCTTTACACAAAAGTCGAATTCCATCTTATATTATACTAGATCAGTATGAAAACCCTGCAAGTGACTTCCCCCCGTAATTACTTCATAAACCACAATTCTCTACGTTTCTACATTCTAGACGGAAAAAATATGTTCAGCAAAAAGTGAACACAGCATTACTTTTGTGCTATTGTAATTGAATATGAGCCCAGAAAGGCCCCTGGAAAAAAGCAACAATACAATTAAAAAAACATAGAGAAACTTACTTCAGATGAAGCTCTTCCTAAATGTTTCATCTTCTCCTCGTTAACCTGGATACCAATGCTTCTGTTAGAGAGATTCTGAAAAAATTTACACAAAGATTAAGAGAACATGGCATTACTGTTTTGACATTTAAGCTGAGGTAGGCTATATATTTATCAAATACCGTACAGGGAAAATATAAAAGCATCAGTCTGAACTTCATGACCTACAAATGTCACGTAAACATTACCACACTGGTCCATTCATTGCACTATTAAATGATAAAGGACACTATAGATTTAAAATCACAGAGCATACAAGTACAATGGCACAGCCCCATGCCATCCTGTGAATTACTTTAAGTACATGTAGCAAATTATACTGCCTTCTGTTACAATAACAATTGTAGTCAAAACCTAGATAATTTTGAGCCTGCATCTCATTATACTTACTAAGTTTTCAAAATCAGCTTATAAAAATATTGATTATGATTCATACCACCAACATAATTGAAAAAAACAAAATAAATAAGCCAATTAACAAATGTGTTGTGGTTTTTCTTGCCTACATGTGCAATGAAACCAAAATTAAAATTGTGAATTTTTAAATTAAAACTCTTTCTTCATTGTTTGACAGGTAAGAACAACCCCCCCCCCACCAATCCCACAAAAAAACCCACAACAACCCCTGAGCTGAGAGGAATCAACATACCTTCACAGATGATGAATGTAACTTTCTCTTCTCCAGTTTCTGACTCTGTGTTGTAAGTTCTAGGACAGACTTTTCTAAATGTTTTGCAGTCTCTTTCCACAGTGTGCTTGCAGACTGCATACTCTTCGTCTGTTTGTTTAAGCGTTCTATGTTCTCTTGCTTCTTCTTTTTAAGGAAACTCCTCACACAACCTCTGATGAAGCCTTGTAAAATCTATTGGGAGTATAAAATAGATAACACATTTGTGAGGCATCATTGTGAAATTAAGCACTCGTCAAATAAGGAGATCTAAGAAACTATTTTCGCACCCATTTGGGCAATTTTGATTGATTTTTAGAAATCGGCTTCAATACCTTTTATGTTCATATTTTAAAATCATTTCTGTGTAAATTTTACTGAAAATGGTTGATCAAAGGCATGAAAAATGTAAATTTGCAGTTAATTTCCAAGGAGACTCAAACTTTGGAAGTCACCAGACTTTGACGATAATTTTCTCACTATTTTGACTTCTGACATCATGCCACCCCACCCTCTTTCAATGGCAGATATGTCTTTACTGTCTTTACATCTGTTCAAGATTGACATATTTTTTTCATCAAAATCAAGGCAAATGAAAAGGCTACACATCAATAATCCCATATGCCCAAAAATTGGAGAGCGCCCAATTCCACCCCGTCGTGACATATTTAATATATTTTTTTCTTAAAAGTGCACTAGGGGGCTCTCGTGGCCTAGAGGTTAAGGTGTTGGCCTCTCATTCAAAGGTTCCGGGTTCGAATCCGGGTAGCGACCAAAAAAATTTCTTCTCTTAAATTGTCTCCTTTCACCTCTTTTCCTGCTCTCTAGAAATGTTCTGCCATCTGCTTTCGTCTCCTCTATCTGCCCCAACCCCTTCACCTCCTTTGCCCCCTCCTCTGGGCTCCTGATTCTGTCTGCAGCCTTTCTACTGCTACTCCTTGGCTCCTTCTTACTGCTGTCTTTCAACTACACCCCTGATCTTCTGGTAGAAAAGATCTACACCTAGCTCTCTCGGACAAGGGCGAAAAATCCCAAAGGGCCCGAGTGCAAGTTGCGCGCGCATGTTAAAGCTCCCTTGGTGGTCTAAAATCAACAAGAGTAGGCTTCGGCTGCCACCCGGCCAAAATTCGAAATTTCCTACCAGCTGAAAAAGATTAGTGTGTCCTGCACGCTCATATGACCGTATGCAGTTGCGAGCGTCGTAAAACACTTACAAAAAAAAAAAAGTGCACTGTTCCAAAACTCATCACTACCGAGAAATAAAAGTCAGTTTTGCGTACACACTTCACTTTACAACCAACATATTGCATTATGACTTAAACAGGTAATAGACAGTGTAAGTTAAGAAATTTAGCAGAAACGTTCCACCATAAAAGATTTCAAAAGCAGCACTCGTAAACTAAGATAACAGAAAATAATTACATGAGAAATAGACAAATATTTAAAAGCTGATTTGATCTAGAAGAAACACACACACACACACAAAGAAAAGAAACAACAGGACCAAAAGACATCTGAGTTTTGACAGAATAATCTCAACTGCATGTAAGTAAGCAGTGTATGTATCATAATATCTGTCAAAACAAGAAATTTCAATCTGAATATGAACACAATAAAATATCTGAGCAGGCTGTATGACATGTCACTAACTCAAAGCTGCTTTTTTTGTTAGCCTACATGCACGGTAAAAATAAAGTGTGAAAGGTAAAAAAGCAATGCAGTAGAGTGGAGCTGAAGAGTAAAGAGCCAGCACAAAAACAATTTCCACGTTGACAACAACTGCTGAGAATAACTTAACCATGCACATAAAACAAGGACATGGAAAGAAGGTGATGGGAGGGGACAGTGAAAACATTAGAGCTTACCTCAGATGTAACACAAACAGCTGACTCATTGACAGATACAGGTGTTTTTTCATTGTCTTGAAGCATAACAACTTCATCGTCCTCCGACACTTGATTTGTCTTCCCCTTTAAACTACTGTCACTGACTGCATCCACTTTTGGACGTTTTAGATCCGAGCCATTACATTCTTCAGCAGGACGTTTTTTGCCATTTTCAAATGGTGCTTGCAGCTCTTTGTCTTCAGTCTTGGTGGAATGCTCCACTCCTGCTTCACCAGATTTTTCTTCTAATTCTGTGTCACATTTCCCACTACTACCACCAGAGTCATTGCTGGATAAAGATTTATTTTGAACATCAGATATTTCAACATCATCAATGATAATACTCTCCGGGGGCTCAGGCGCAACCGGTTTTACGTCTGAAGCTTTCAAAACAGTTTTAAATGATTTTTTTGTACAAGGTTCAGGAGCAGAGGGCTCACTTTCACCAATTAATAAAATTTCATCATCAAGTTCATTCGCACATGGTTTGTCTTCATGTTTCTCAGTATCATTGCTTGTTTCTTCTTTCTTATTTTCAGGAGGGACTTCAAGCTCAGGACTAGCTTTTGAAGTAGCACTCTTGGACAAACTATCCTCAGGTACCTCAGGCAAAAAATTTGAAGCTTCAGACACACTGTCATTCTTTTTATCAACACAGCTGTCGCCAAAAGTCTCAGACTTTGTTGACATAGTTTGATTATGAGTATTATTTACATGCCCAACCGAAGGTTTCAAATTTTCTGCTTCAACATCCATATCATCAGGAACTGACACTTTCGACTCACTAATTTCTTCTTTAACATCAGTATCAGATACATTCGACTCATCTTTAGTGTCACCCGAAACATCAATATGGACTGGATCCTCTGGCAAACCTTGTTTACTCTCACTAGAATTGTTAAGTACAATGTCTGAGGACATCTGCTCTGATAAACTGTCTCCCTCTGAAGTAGTGTTAGCATCCATATCAACTGGTTTGCTATCGTCTTGCATATCTTCGTTGTTGAGCTGTGTAACCTTTTTACACACATCAGAAGTAGCCAAAAACTCTGTGCGGAGTAGTGACACAGTTTTACCATCAACAGACACGTTTACTTTCTTTTCTCCATTTGAACATTCAAACTGCTCTTCGCTTTCCATCGGTTCTTCACATGGCGGGTCACCTGAAAGGAAGGACAAGTTTGTCAGTGATCAAACAAATGATACAAGAAAAGAAACTAATGACATATCGCCTATCCGTTTTAAGAATCTTTTGCAATGGAGAGCACTACGATTCTGAAAATGGTGAAAAGCCAGTGCGGGCCATGAGTCCGGCCAGAAATCTATTATAAACGTTTTTCTGGACAGGACTGTTGAGGAAAAGGATGAAGAGGAACTTTTCCGCCACAGACCAGAAAGACAGCCATATGTGTCACCCTTGACTGGATTTGCAATTAATGATAAAAATAACTAAAACACAAGTGGATCGGACCCACTTCCAAACGTGTTGAAACTCCTAAAATTAACAAATTGAAACAACTAATACAATACCTCTCTTTGCACTGCACCCTATGCCTTTATGCTGCACAAAATTCCTGTCCACATAACCATGAACATTGAAGCCTATAATACCAACAGCGATGACAACAGTCATCACGGGAAAAGAACTTGGTTTTAACTAAATCATCTAAATGTGATCAGCTGAACATTTCTAAACCTCCTCTGCATACTAGACTTAGATCTATATTACAATACTTCACCGCAAGTTTCAAATGTCAACTTAAAACAAATCACTGCATTGAGTAATAACGAAATACACAGGTATGGGGCGTTACTATTTCTTGTTCACTTTCGTCTGTCACCTTTAAAAAATACTTGCTCATTTGTTAATTTACCTGTGCGAATGGGCTCCAGTAGGCTAGCGATCAAAAACAAATATTTGTTTTTAAAAATCTTGATTTAATAATAAAAGAAAGTTCCTCTGTTTGGGCGCTATATTAAACGCCGCCCTTCGGATGCGTTCACAGAATCATTACAATAAATGATTCACAGTAACCCTGCCTCCAACTCTCTCATTTTGAGACAGTTTCACCACCCTGCCCCCGCATTCCAGGGTAACTTACACACGATAAGCTTGTTGATATTTGCTCCTTTGACGGTCTAGACACCTCCACGTGATCCTTGAAAAGTGCTCACCCGTCTTTTGGACCGTGTTTCACAGGTGAGCGTTAAAAAGTGTGGTGTTGATCAAAATAGGTCAACTTTTTAACGTTTTACAGGTGTCTGCTGTAAATTTCCCCACCCCTTTAAAAAAAAACAAAAAAACCAGCTTTAGGCTTACAATACTACATCAAAGTAAACGAGTCGGAACCTTAGTTTGCAGTGACCTTCATCACTGTGCTCATAATTCTGTCACAGTAGTCAGTTGGTCATCCAACTTTTAAACCCGTAAGCAAAGACCCGGGGAAGAATAAACCGAGCGATTTGTTTGTCGTTTTCTTTATTGTTGTTGTTTTTTAGCACATAATAATATAGTATCCACATATTATAATATCAAAGAAAAGGAATCGCCGAAAATTGAGTGGTTATTGTCATTCACATATACACACACACATATAATATATATATAT